TCGACCAATAACAGCATCGCATTAGCATTGTTAAAGAACTGTTGGACTCTGTCCGCGACGATCCAAATTTGCTCCAGAGGGTCATAACTGGAGACGAATCATAGGTTTATGGTTATGACGTGGAAACCAAAGCTGAATCATCCCAATGGAAGCTGCCGTACGAGCCAAGATCGAAAATAGCGCCCCAAGTTAGGTCGAATGTGAAGGTTTTGTTTACAGTTTTCTTCGATTGCAGGGACGTGATGCATCATGAGTTCTTGCCACAGGGTACAGCGGTCAATAAGGAATATTACCTGCTGGTTATTCGCAATTTAGGCGAAGCAATCTGTCAGAAATTCCCGCATTTGTGGAAGAACAAACATTGACTTTTGCACCCTGCTCACACATCGTTGCTTGTGGGCAAAAACAATGCACTAAATGATACCGCAACCACCATATTCCCCAGATCTGGTCTCCCTATGACTTTTTCTTGTTCTCGAAACTGAAGAGGCCCATGATTGAGGAGATAAAGATGGCATCGAAGGTGGAGCTCAACAAAATAACTTTTTTGAAGTGCTTCGAGGATTGGAAAAAAACATTGGCACAAGTATATAATATCTGGTGGGGATTACTTTGAAGGGGACAAAATAGCTATTCATGAATAAATAAATAATTTTTGAAAAAACACAATATTCGAGATACTTTTTGAAGAGACCTCGTATTAGTACCTGCCCTTTGAATCCAATAGGACAAACAACATAATATGTACCAGGCAAAAGAACATTACGGTAATGAGAAAAAGAAGTTTTTGTGGAATGGGTAGATACTCAGATTGGGTATCGTAATTGAAGTGTTGCAGTTGGGGTGCTAAGGGTTGCATCAGCGTTAATTATGTAAACTGAAATCTTGATTACATGGTTCAAACGTTTTAAAATGAAAGATGGTTTGTCCTGGTGCATAATATTGAATGCCTATCCGCATTGGCTTCACTTGCTTTCACACTAGCACACCTTCTATAGGTAGATATGTAGAATGGTCATATTTTAGGGGTAAATGGACATAACAGGTCAATTGAAAAGTCCCCGGCCTAAAATAGTAAAACACATTTTTTTTGCAAAATTCGTTTTTTTTATTCAACATAATTCCCTTCAAGGGTGATACACTGATTATAGCGATCCTCCAACTTTTCGATACCATTTTTGTAGTACGATTTGTCCTTTGCTTCAAAATAGGCCTCAGTTTCGGCGATCACCTCTTCATTCGACGAAAATTTTTTCCCAACGAGCATTCTTTTGAGATCTGAGAACAGGAAGTAGTCGCTGGGGGCCAGATCTGGAGAATACGGTGGATGCGGAAGCAATTCGAAGCCCAATTCATGAATTTTTGCCATCGTTTTCACTGACTTGTGAGACGGTGCATTGTCTTGGTGAAGCAGGACTTTCTTTTTCTGCAAATGCGGTCGTTTCTCGGCGATTTCGTCCTTCAAACGGTCCAATAACGCTATTAATAGTCGCTGTTGATGGTCCTTCCTTTTTCAAGGTAGTCAATGAAAATTATTCCACGCGCATCCCAAAATACAGACGCCATAACCTTGCCAGCCGACTGTTGCGTTTTTGCACGCTTTGGAGCGGGTTCATCGTGTGCAGTCCACTCCGATGACTGTCGATTGGACTTCGGAGTGAAATGATGGAGCCATGTTTCATCCATTGTCACATATCGACGCAAAAACTCGGGTTTATTACGCGTGATCATCTTCAAACACTGCTCTGAATCATCAACTCGTCGTTGTTTTTGGTCAAAAGTGAGCTCGCGCGGCACCCACTTTGCACAGAGCTTTCTCATACCCAAATATTCGTGAATGATGTGATGTATACGTTCCGTTGATATCTGTAGTGTCTGCTATTTCATTCAATTTCAATTTACGGTCATTCAAAATCATTTTGTGGATTTTTTTAATGTTTTCGTCCGTAACAGCCTCTTTTGGGCGTCCACTGCGTTCACCATCTTCGGTGCTCATTTCACCACGTCTATACATAGCATACCAATCCTTGATGGCTGATTTTCCTGAGGCAGTGTCCGGAAATTCGTTATCAAGCCAAGTTTTTGCTTCAACTGTATTTTTTCCCTTCAAAAAGCAATATTTTATCAACACGCGAAATTCTTTTTTATCCATTTTTTTCACAATAACAAAAGTTGCTTCACTAAAAATGCTATAATTCACAAACTAATGATCCGACAGCCGTCAAATTTATAGACGCGTCTTTTGAAGGTTAGGACTAACTGAAAATAATATGGATTTAGTTCTGGTGCCGCCATCCATGTGTCAGGCCGAGGACTTTTCAATTGACCCTAGTACATAAGTGGTAACTCCTTGGGCTTTTCTTTTACAAATACCTAAATGTAACGAGACCCTAAAACGTAGTCTCTCCAGAACTTCTACGTTAATCTACTGTCATGCCTAAAAGACTCCCTCTTGTTACTTCTGCTCGTTATTTTACACGAAAATATTAAACATTAATTTAATCTTTATACTTGGAAAGTCACATCGTCTCATATGTATCTCGTTGTAACGATTTTTCTGTAACTTTACTTAAAAAAAAGGTTGGAATTCTACGCTTTTAGAATGTAGACGGCGCGACGTAGGTTGTTATTAAAATACACTTTTAAATTATCGTAAAAAAATCACATTCCATTTTTACAATTTAATTGCAATGTCTTTCTGAAGGACGAACAAAAGTCCTTACTTAATTCAAACGGATACGAGAACGCCATTGTTTAAAAACTTCATTTTCGAGCTCCGTCTGGATTATGAATAAGTTTGTTGACTTTAATTTACAAATTTTTAACATTACGAGCTGGAAATAAGCCATGTAAACAGTTGCGGCTTGTACTTCTAGTATTTACTTGGCCAAATCATTTGTAGAGTTAATAAACATAAATTCTACCGTGGGTAGCAATTTTAGATCTACGAAGTAGGTTATACGAAGTCCTGCTCGATACGAATCAAATTATGTGTCTGCACTATTAAATAAATTAAACGTTATAGAAAAGCGAATTACCCTAATTTTTTCCACGGTTTAATTAAAATGGGAACGCGTTTACAATTAAGAGAGAAATGCTTAAACAAAATAATTTTCTTACCTATAGTCGGTACGTTCAAAATTGGCGTAGTCCGCAATAAAACCGTCGCATGTACTTTCTTCTTTGATTATAATCAGGCAGTTTTAAAGCCGACCCTGATCTTTTGCGAACCTAAGGAACCTTTAATCGCTGCACCACTTTTGTTCGGTTATCTCTTTTCACTTTATCTGAGCTAATGGAAGATACGTCCATTATTACTACTGAAAATATCAACGAGATGTTTATTTGTATTTGAAGTCATATTAAAGGCTTTAACGCTTGTTTTCGACTCGCACTTCTATTCATGATTGAACAAAACTTTTGGCAGGTACTGTTTGAAAGACGAATAGACGAACTATTCACACTAGGTATAATTTCCTCGATTTCCTTCAAAACGATGGTAAAAGTCTTACAAGTATAATAAAAAAACAGAACTTAACGAATTAGTATGTTTTAAAATATTTTTCTATGATATTAACCTAAATTTAAGCCCTAATTAAACTAAACAGTTGGTTTGAAACTAAAAAAATAAATCCGAAAACACATAAAGAAACCCAAAATTTAAACATATCTGCAGTGACGGATTCACTGCGATTAATTAAAATGTCCAGATGTGAATAATTGAAGATTAGCTACCAGGCATATTAATAAAGGAATAGTAAGTACTCCAGAAAGCAAAAAAATTAAAATTATATTGCTATATTACGTATTATATAACATGTCGCTAACGTAACTTCTTATCTAATCTTTTAAACAAGCTGCTACAGAGCAGGCCAACCAAATGACAAGATGTTTAATTAATACCTGTGGGGAATCATTAATTAAAATTGGAAATATTACCTAGTTACCGTTGTGCCCTGTTACGTGCCTCAAGTTATGTCTCTAAAATGTCTTCACCAAGTTGGAGCACAGTACGAAGACGTCACAGTGTTACCAAGTTAAGTGATTTTCACAAAGAAAATAGTAAAGTAGTGGAAGTCAGAAGAAATTCATTTCAAACGGTAAAGTATATAGTAGATATACTTTTTATTGAATTTACAAGAGTAGTGTGGTTATCGGGCTCCTGGATCATGTCGATGGCCTATTTGTGACCTTTAAAACGTCTTCCAAGGTGATTCTTCAACGGAACAGGTTAGAACACACCCCTTTGGTAACAATAGCAGAAGCTCTTGTTGAAGATTCTCTGGAATTGTAAAATGGAGATGGAGCCTATTTGAATTTGATTTTTCTGTGGTATTTCTGAAAAAAGGGGTCTGCTCTAACTTATTCAGCTATAGAATAACCTAGAAAGACGTTCAAAAGGTCAAAAAGTAGTAGGGTGTTGATGGATGACTCAGGACTCCGACATCCGACCCCCCCCCCACTCAATAGGAAATGTGGTAAAACAATCGGTCAAGCGCGAATTAAAGGGTGCTAAATACCAATGCATTTTGAAGCTGAGGATCATAAAAGAAAACTGTCTGTCGTAATGTAAACCTCCACTGCATTTCTGTTAAATTTCTAATTGAGTTTTTAAATGTTTCATTTTGCTACAAACAGCGTAATGAATGCCATTTGTAGAGTATTGCTACATTTTGTGAGGTTCAAAAATGTTCGTGGTACAACGTAACAAAACAGAACAAGTCCATATATTGGTTGGTATTTAATTGAAACCATCCGTTCGACTGATGAGACCCAAGAAGCTCGAAATAGTGAGTCACTTGATTAAAATCAGTAGAATAACGACCGAGTCAGAGTTTTCCAAATGTGCAATATGAATGTGTTAAGGCCGACCCCTTCTAGCAATTGAAGATTCATGTTAGTCTAAACCATATACCTTATTAAATATTTCTACCAATCTGACAGCCCTAGATGATAAAATATTACGATAGTGTCTAAGAAAATTTCTCTATTCTTTTCAGTTTAGTGAGAACGGGCAATGGTCTGCGATGTGGAGTTATGTAATGGCCGCAGCGAGAGGTGACTCGCGACACCGTCCAGGTTCAATTTTCACGGTGCACTCGGCCAGCGCGGTCCCATCTGGAGGCCCTTGTCGGGATGGCCTTAACTCGTCCTTCTACGGACGAGGAGACAGGCCCGTGCGTCAGGCAACTTATCCACCATATTTTCGAGATTCCTTTAAAGACAATGATATTCTACACGAAAACCAAATTAATAAAGTTAATGCAATTGCGGACGAAGAAGCTGGTACCGGTGCACCAGCAGAAGTGAAAATCGCAAGTCCGTTCCAGTCTCCGAAACACCATCAATGTGACCGAGAAACAACAACCAACCATCAGGTAAATTCAATTTTTTAAAGTCTTCAAGTCAAATGGTCATCCACTTCTATGTTATAATTGCTATGGTACCTATTTTGTAATGAGTTTTCTAATGCCTACGCAGTTACTCATTCAAACCGTGGGTAAACTTAATATCACTACGTTGAAAGTTCATCGAAATTAATATGAGTATTTAGGTATATTCCATCCAAATAAGGAAATTTTACCCAAATGGTACTCTGTATTTTTCATATTTCGTCTATGTTTACAAACAAAAATAAAGAGCATGACCATGACAGCACTCAATTAAACAAACGTATTGTTCAGTTAATATCTTTAATGAAAGAAGTTATTGTATCGGCCGAGCAAGGAGACCAGGTCCGCCCCATTTGTAGCTGACCTTTGATACCACTGGGCCATTGCCATTTACTGAAAATTTTGATGATCAAACGTCTTGCAAGTTTATCGAATCCGACATTTGTCAACTAAAGTGCGGCGGAAATGTAAAATATGGAATTGCGGAAGTTATATTTCTGGAAACTTCCCGTAAGTTTCTGTTGTCGTTTATTTTGTGTTCCTTGCACAACTTATAGCCAACAGCTATTGACTCTCGCTTGCATTACAGGAGCCGCAGGCATGCATTACATCAGCGCCATTATACGTGACAGTATTAAAATTAAAATTTCGCCGATTTTCGTTACTTAAACGCGAGTAGGATTTTTCTGCGTTCTATAACGTGTGAAATAAAATATTAAGCAGACATTAGAATGCCATCCACCACTTCTTATTTTTAAATTCCATTTATGTAGTAATTGCAAGTATTATGATTAACTAATCAACACTTTCTGTTACAAACATTAAATAATAAACCCAGCCCCAATTAAAATAATTTCCACTGCTTTATTGAACTTTAACACTTTCAGAGCAAAAATATTTCAAATATCGTAACTTGAATTTAACTGAATTGGATCATGAACTTTTGAACTATTTCTAAGCTAGAAAATATACTAATTGGATTATAAATCTATTTCTATTCTTTATTTGTTTTTGATTGTTTTTTCTCGTTCATTTAAAATTAATTTTGCTATTTCGGGAAGCTGATAACGCTTCACACAATTTTCCGTCGCGTCTTCCAATTAATTGCAGCAATCCAACTGGAAAGGGATGCATTACTCTCGATTTCCCAGCTCTGAACTTCCCCCCCATCAGCAGCCAAGTCAATGACTTGCCACTTGTCTGATATCCGTTTTATATTATTCATCCTTGACCGGTTTTACTCTGATATTAAATGGTCGATGATCCGATCGTGTGGATAGAAAATCATATGGTGCGTGACCTCACGAGAAGCCATTTCGTTTTACAGTTTACAGTCCATACAACAGATAATTTTAATCTCCTTTCATAATTCAAAATATAATTTCTAGTGTTCTAGTTTCTAGCTTTTCATTACAAAGAAATCTGAGAAATTAGTTTCTTGAACTATAAAGACTGATATGAATTGAATGAGGGGCGCAACTCGAACTCTTCACGTGCTCGCAAAACTATAAAAAGGCTTTTGGATTTTTTATTCCCATCAGCTGCTAATGCTAGAGGGCAGGCAATTCCTTCTGACTACGCCGAAGGATAGTGTGGAAGCTTTTCTTCAGTTTCCTGAATGAGTGGAGAAAGATAAGAAGGACGAAATAAAGAAAGAAAAGAGTGAAAGTGAAAGATTGTCTGTGGAATACTATAACTCCAGCATTTGCCTAAAGTGATCCAAAGAAATTATAGAAAAACTTGGACCAAGACAGATGGACCTGGAGTTGAACCGGTGCCCTGCCGAATGCCATGGGACGAAAGGCCACTGAAAGGGCAATCTAAAGAAGAAATAATAATATTCTCCGCACTATATGGACCACCCTAATCATTGTGTAACAGATTTAGTTTATACTAGTTATCAATTCCTACAATTTTTGAACCTATTAACTTCTTTGACGAATTATATGGAACACCTTGTATATACTAAATGATATAATGAGAGAAATGATAACTTAGTAGTGTGCTCCTTCGGGAATTATTACTGACTTCAGTATTCGGTTAACTACAACAGTTTCGTATGCCAGGACTTCATTTTAGGTAAAAATACAAAGAAAGAGGAACAAATGGAAGACGGATTACGTAGAGACTTGGCGCAGATCCAAAGAGAATTTCTACATTGAAATTTATTTTCAGGTAACACAAAAACGGCAAATATTTATTTTCTTGTGCTATACCACGCATTTCTGGAACACAAATGAAGCGAATGTGTATCTTTTCGTAGAAACAAGCATTTCCCATAATTTTAACTTATCGCGAAGTAGCAGCACCAACAAGAGATTTATATAACGACACATTAAGTTAAAATTCAGAAAAGGTATTATGGTAATACATCTAGTGAACTTTGTTAGTTATGAATCTTAGCATATTTCACTATTTTATCGAATAAATTTATTTCAATATAGGCAGTGGCCTAACTAGCGTAGGTGAGCCCCTTCCCAAGATGTATCCACTAAAGCGATAAATCTTAAACGCATTCCAGCTCGGAATTTCAGCACAAGCGCACCCCCTTTGCCTAAGACTCCCTATTTACGTCAAAAAAAGAGGGACTTTTCAAAAATTGTTGTCTTTAGATTTCCTAAACCCACTAACTGGTTTAGTAGGAGTAGAATATTGTTTTTAAAAAGAATATACTTTCTCGTCGTGATCATTTTTCGCAACTTTACACGATTGTTTTTTCATGTTTCTACGTACGTACCAATTTTTCTTAAACATTTAGAGCGCCTTCATAAATGGCCGAAAGTCACGTGATCTCCGTGTGTATGCACAAAATCAAATATCCCTAGACGATTTCTGACAAACTGCAGTATTAGTGTTTGAAAAATTATAAAAAAATCGCAATTAGTAAGCACATTATGAAATGCTAAAATACCTAAAATGAATAAAATAGGCAGATAGATAAGAATCCGTAGTTTATTATCCTTAATAAACAGCCAAAACCCACAAAGACGACACTGACCAATATTTAACAGACAATAGTATTTTTTGTAACTAACTAGTAACCAGATTCAGAACGTAGCCTATTTGAATTCACCAGTGTTTGAGTTTCGTCCACAAATTCACCATATTGTTTAAGTCAGTAGCATGGCATAGATCTTTTTCGCTTTTTATTGTCATTAGGGCTTCATGTCTCTACCCTTTAATGATGAATCTGGTCAAATCTTACAAACAACTCTCTTAAGTAAACTAATCTTTTTTTCCTTCGAAGCCATCGAAAATCTCGCTGTAAATATTAACTGATAAGGACGAAAAAATTCCCCAATAGCTGTTTTATATTTAGCAGCTACCTTCATGATCCTCACATAAAAGAGCATATATCAAATAATATTTCTAACTGTGTATGAAGCGGTTATGACTCAGCCATATGAGATATGAGCAGGTGGATACAGCAGAGTCAATTTTTCAGTATTTTCACTTGTTATGTTCTTTTTATCTAAAGGATTTGTGAGAATGTTTGAGATTGGATTCAAACGTTCTACAATCATTTTGAGTTTATTTTGCAAAAACATTGTAATTTTATCTTAAATGCTTAAAAATTCTTTTCTATAAAACATATTTACATCAAAGCTCCCTGCATTGGATTCACATCTTGTTCTGAATTAATTTTAACTTTTCTAGCAAAAATTTTGGCACTTTCTATTAAATTTAGAATTACGTCTTCCTCTTGCCTTATTGAAATAAGGGATTCTCTGGCTCTATTAATAACGTATATCCCGTCTACAGTGTTCAAATCCTTCCTTTCCTTTATTGCTTGGTATTTTTGCGTACTAAAACAGAATTACAAATTGTCCCCCCAAATCGTTGATGATATACCACTGTATGCCCGGTATCCCACTTTTGGCTAAGGACCTGGTCGAGGAAATAAATCGGAAATTTTCTTTAAATACTCAATATTTTTTCGATATTAGAAAGAAGAATGGATTAAAATACATTCGAAGATGATTTGAAGGTTACAGAAGATATAGAACACAAAAAAGACGATTACTTAAGTGTAGACAAATAATTCCTTTCAAATTGCTTGTTGGGAGTTCGTAATTTTATCAACTGATTGCATCGTGCATTTGTAAATTTAATGATATTATAGATTATAAATATATCTAGAAGCAACGTGTTCGTTTATTCGTAATACAAACAAATTATGATACAAGTGATAGAGACAAAGCACGCAAACTAACGTGTTTTCTAAACGACTAGAGTTCCGTCTGTGTTTAATTTGAATAGTATCTTAATGCTCATGAACATTCAATAATTGTTAAAGTCAATTTCGTGCCACCCACACTAACCACAAATGAAATAATAATATGACCTTGGTCCTCGCACTTTTATGGCATTTATACGACAATTTTTTTGACACGATATTACGAATTAACAAAAAAAATAAATAAATCGTGTTAAGCTACAATAAAACCCATTCTCCCCCAATTGAAGTCAAGGACACTCATTCATAAATAATTAAAAAGTTATTAAAACAATGGAAAAAAAAAAGACGCAGAACAAAAAACAATTGCAAATTAAACGTTACAAAACTTTTGGGTGTTTTATTTCCACTAGCTACTAATGCTGGTGGACGGGTAGTCCCTCCGGACTATGCCGGAGATTAGGGTAGAATGCCCTCTTCAACCTCATTTTAGGAATTGTTCGTGGAGGTTGGGATAAGATAGATGAACCGGATGAAATGAAGACAGAAGAATTTTACTGCCCCAACATTTCCCTAAGTGATCCAAGGAAGTCACAGAAACACTTGGACCGGGACAGACGGACCCAGAATTGAGCCCGTGTTCTCCCGAATGCAATTGGGAGCATTGGTTTAAACCTCTAGGTTATGCCGCTCGGTAAATTAAACGTTAACATGGGTATGGTTAAAAAAAAACTTTTGGGTGTTTCATTCCCACCAGCTAGTAATGCTGGTGGGCGGGCAGTCCCTCCGGACTATGCCGGAAGGCCCT